TAATTGAAAGTTCAAGTTTACTTTTATAGTATTGCTCTTACAGTCTGCAAAAAATAATAAGCCGGATCCAATTCGAAAATTAAAAACAATGCAATCATCAACATTAACTGAAATAGATAATTAGATAATTTTAACTTATACCGTCCATTATACATAAAACGCGCATGCGAAAACGTATTCTGCACTTGCGCACACGCATATGCGCAGACGTAAAAGGTCTTACGCGCACGCGTAAACACCTATGCGCATGTGTCAACGCGACGCATGCGCAGAAGTTTTTAGCTTTGAGGTCCGGTTTATGGGTGTCCGAATTAACGGCTTTCGACTGTATAACATTTAGTTATGCATATGTACAGTCAAAAGTCATTAATTCGGACACCCATAATCTGGACCTCAAAGCTACAAACTTTCTGCGCATGTGTCGTGTTGATGCATGCGCGTAAGACCTCTATGGCTACGAATATGCGTGTGCACATACGCACAATACATTTATGCATGCACGTTTAATGTATAACGGACGGTATAAGCTAAGCTAAAATTATCTAATTCAGTTAATGTTGCAGATTGTGTTGTTCCTTAATCTTCGAACTGGATCCGGCTTATTATTTTTTACAGACTGTTAGAGCAGTTTTATAAAAGTAAGCTTGAACTTTAGATTATGTCAAATAGAATTTCCGATATATATTTACTAATATGTAAAGGATTTACAAAGCGAAAGTATGTTTCGAAGTCCATTAAACAAAAAGTGGAATTGCTGCAAAAAATGGATAAAGGCATATCCTTCGTTTCTCTAACCATTCCGAAATTTGTTTATAAATTTCACGCCACAGCGCGCAATGAATTTGAAGTTGATCTGTCAGCACTCTCCTTATCTTCAGGGCAGTGTTTTTATTTTATTTGGTTTATAATTCCTTGCTAAATGTAGTATTTCATCTCAATGTACTCCGCCCTTCCATATGATTTAAATCAAACTCCTCGTCATTATAATTCGCTTCCCATAGTGAAGAAAGTGACACAGAGATTATTGAAAACGAAAAAATGTTGATTGACAAATTAGTCAGTATTCTCGACACAGCAATTATAGGACTTGAACAGCGGAACTTTGTAATTAAAGAAGAAATTATGTCTGTTTATAGAATTAAAGAGAAAGTATTATCACATAAAACGAAGCAACTTAAACAACTTACATTGAAAGAAATGTTTAATAAAGTAAACAAATAAATATTAAGCTTTTTTTCTTGTAAATTTTGATACCCTTTAGATCAATTGTTCTTTATTTCATAAATTACGGTTTCATATTTTTAATTTTATAATTTCTGCATGCCATCTTACCAGATTTAAACTGATGATCTATAATCCAAAAAAATCGATAATCCAGAATCGCCGAAGTCCCGACGAGTCCGGATTAACGACTTTTGACTGTATATATAGGGAAAAGTGTAGAATCACCTACTGCTTGGCACGCGTTTCAAAATTGTCAATTTGAAAATAACAAGTCAAAGAATTGCACATACTTGGTATCCATGTACATATCGACCTATTTTCACTTGAAAAAAATCAGAGAATTGCACAAACTCGGCATTGCACACCCCCTTGATTTTGCCAATGTACACATCGAAAAAGAGGGGGAATAATTAGGCGATTCTGCATTTCACCACCTTGTATAAAGAAAGAGAACCAAATGTGCATATATATATATATATATATATATATCCAAATGTGTATATATATATACATATGGATTTATTTCTAAACACTGCCTAAAAATGCATACTAAGTAGCAGCACGCTTGGTAAAATCCTAGTTTATGATACTGCCTTGGCGCATTTTTGAAAACTGTCACCAACACCAAAATGACCCATTTACTGCTCATCATAAATGTCATGTTTACTTCTCACAGTAATGTCGCCAAATCCCGTGTGTACCGTATACTAGGATTAAACCACATACTCCAGCAAAAAGCATTTTAAATTGGCTCTTTTATACATAAAATTTGCCTGTCACTGAAATACAAATTAGTACACATAAAATCTAATAACCAATAAAAATTAATAAATATTGAAAAAAGAGGTAATCTGAAGTTTTCAAATTATAGTCTACCACCTAAAAAAAAGAAAGAAAGAAATTTGTCGTTAAAATGGTTTGAAAAAAAAATTATTTAAAAATATAAAAGTCATTAAAATAGGAAAACCTAATTTGATCTTTCCATTCAAATTCCAATTCAACATCAGACACAAGATTTAGGCTTTAAAAATTTATATTAGACGTACTAGATCAAAATTATCTCTAGAAAATCAAGATACAGGACATGTACATATATTTAAAACAGATTAGGTTTATAATAAAAAAAGAAAAGAAAGGAAGAGGACTTGCTAGAATATTACTATATCATAAACGAATGTATGAATGTCATCACATATTTATAAGACTTCTGCACTTGATAAATAAAAAAAAAATTATTCAAGACAAAGCTCAGCACCTTTTCCACTCATTGGACTGTTTATACATGAGGCTTAGACACTTATTTCTAAGAATAGAAGTGTTAATGCTTTCTGTTTTATGAGAAAAAAAAAAAATTATGTAATAAAAACTTTGAAGTTTTAATAATTAGAATCACTAATATTTTCCCACGTTGACTTTTCATATTTTATAATAAAATGTAATGTTTTATGACCTTCATTAAAAATATAATATTTAGAAAATGCTTTAACTCTCTCAGCTTTAAGGATTGAAAATTCCATATAGAAGGGTGGCTTTCATATTCAATACACATACAAATTTCTGCCAGCTTGAAAGGCGTTCGATTTCAGATTGGATGTATATCAAAAATGAAAGTAAAGGAATAAAGGTACAAGTGAGAGATTCTTTTTTTAATTATAATCAAGAAAATACAATTTATTCATGACATTTTGAGAAACATTGAAATTTCAAGGCTAAACTCATAACGTTCAGAGGGTTAAAGTGTCACAAAAAACTGCACTTACAAAACATTTATAACCTCAAAATCAAGGACAAAACACAGCAAAAACAAAGAACTGATAAAATTTGACATAATGTATGAATTTTATAATTATAAAGAAGATCGGATATTAAGATTACATGTTTTATAATGCCCAAAATTAAATTCACATCCAAAAAATTCTATGATTTTTATCAAAAAACAAGATACACAAGTTTTATTCTCTATCAGTTTCACTTTTTAAAATTTAAATAAAGTAAAAATAAATCAAATATATATAATTGTTATGAGATAAATGAAATGAGGGGTTTAAAAATCCATATATATGACTTTTTAAGACTGCACAACAATGAAGATATATAATAAACAATAAAAAATTATAAATATTTACATCCATCCAATGGCTCTAGTGTCCAATAAAATACTCAATGTAACCATAATAATTTTATAATTAAGAAGGGGAATGGAGATAAACAATCACCTTCACTTTCTTACAATGGGAAAATTCAGCACAAACTTTCATTACCAGGAACTAAAAATAGGTCAAGGATGTAAAATTTACAACCCTCCAAACTATACCTATACCAAGATATTATGAGTAAATAACAATTTTTATTTAACGTACCATTACACAAGAAACCAGGATATATATAAAAAGATAAGAGATTATTAAATGCCCTTTTTTAATAACATACTTAAAATAATTTCACTACTGACTACAAAATACAATATTTGTCTAAAGGATATGTTCTAATAAATATACAATCAACAACACATAAAAACTATAAAAAATATATTATTATTTCTAATTACCAAATTCTATGAAACAAAACACTACCTTTTTCGCCTTTTCGGAATTTATATTTAGGGAATTAAAGGAACATGGAAAACACATTTCAAAGGGGAAAATCAGCATACGCAATAACTTAAATGGAGCAATTTTTTTACGCAAGGAAAGTACTAAACGATAACCTTTGGTTCTCTACGGTGTACAAGTTGCATCGCCCATTTCTAGAAATTAATCTAAATGCTGCGAAATTATAAAATAACTAGGCTTACTGAAAGTGCATAATCGCCCACTTATTCCTTCGGCGCTTTTTACAAGAGTAAGAAGAATTTTATTTTTGTCAATTTTCTTTGACTTTTTAAGTGAAAATGGGTCGATGTGTACATGGATAAAGTCAAGAGTGTACGCAATGCCATTTCTGTGCAATTCTGGGATGTATTTTTAAGTGAAAATAGGTCGACGTGTACATCGATACCGAGTATGTGCAATTCTTAAAATCACGACAAGCAGTGGGCGATTCTGCACTTTCTCCTTTTATAGAGAAACAAATTATCATATAATTCATATAATGTTATCTTAAATTAAACATTTTTACGCAGTTTATTCAAAAACTTACTCTTCTGAAGTTCACAACTTGAAAGTTTCGATATATATATATATAATACAATCATGTATACTATTAAAAAATTTCTAAGTACAGATATTACAGACTTCTTTCATATTGATGACACAAATATTTTAGTCAAAAGATAATGAATAATAATTTACGCAAAAAAGTTTTTATTTATTTATTTAAAAATTTTTAGCTGAATTTTATAGTATTCCATCAGTTTTTAAAAATATTTTAGGCACATTAATTGAACGAAATATTTTCCGGATTCAATAATAGTTAATGAACATTAAGGAAAACAAATCTTTGTTGATGATATATTTCTAAATCATTTAAATAAATGCTCGATTAGTAAAATTTTACAAACTCAATACCTCAAAGAACTAGAAATTTAATCAAATTGTTTGCCGATAAAAGTTTCTTAGACATGTATATCATCATAAGACTGTATTTTTATGCTCTATTATAATGTCAGGATCAAATTTTGGTCAAAATTCTTAGTGAAAGCTTACAGATAGTACTTTGGGGGTTTTTGTAACTGATAAATACCCATTTATAAAAATAAATTCTTTTAATAAATCAAAATATGCACATATCGTTAGAATAACATTAATCTCAGCGATGAATAAAGTGTTTAGACGAACTTGTAAAAACAGGAGGGAAGTGTTCTTTTTTGCCGTCTCACGAGATGCCTCTCTCTCTCGAGATGAGATTCTTATCGCGCATGCGCGAGGGTGAGAAATCGAAGCGCTCAAAAAATGTGGGGAAGAAAAACCCCACACCATCTCCCTTCATGGAAAAAAAAACATGCTAAAAATCTAAAAAAGAGAAAAAGAATTTAGTCATGCACAAATCGTTTTAGAAAGTGAAGACGACGTCCTGAATGAGTTTGGTAATTTGCTTTCGCAGGAGCACTTTTTTCAGATGACTGTTCGTTTACTGGACAGGCTGGTTACTGTAATGAGGTCTTATCAACATTAATGGAAACTAAGAGGTTCAGGTGCATCGTCTGGGACTAAATAAGCAGGTTCTACCCTGTCAAAAGACGCAGTGATATCATGTACTTTTTTAGAGATGATAAAAGTTTTATCACCATGTTAAAGTACTTTATAAGAACCAGTGTAAGGTGTATGCAACCAAGGCCAACTAGATATCTACAGGCCTGCTCCAATCTGATGATCACATGATCTGACGTCATAATCTTAGTCCTTCAATTTTGTAAGTTGACATTGCTTCGCCGTAGGACTAGTGCTAGTGAGATAATTGTTTACGTGTGTTTTTTCTTCTGAAAAAATTTTGTATTTTACCGGAAAGTAAAATATTATACTGTGAATTCGGATTTATGTGTGTTCTAAGAAAGCGAAGGTGTGTTTTAGAATGCCAAAGAAAGTGTAGTGTACCTAAGATGCCGATCAAATTACGATAGCAGTAATGAACATGTGTCCGACTTTGAAATTTACTTCGGTATCCTGTACTCTCTCAGAAATGGATAAAAATATTAATCGCAAAGATTTTGTAGCTGGCAAAACATAGTAGTGTATGCATTAAGCATTTTGAAGAAAAAATTTGTCGTTCGAGAAGATAAAGCTGTTCGTGATGATGGAACGGCATTAGTAATGGTTTTGCAAGAAAAATAGATCTTCCCTCTTCATGGATATTCATAACCAAAGGTAAGATCTTTTGGCTATCGAAATTAGAATTTTTAAACTGTTCAAAAGTGCTTGTATCTTTAAAAATATTGGACGATTTAAATGTAAGAGTTTTTTTTCAATGAAAATGAAATTCCCATTGAAAAGTTCGGCTAAATCGCAGAATAGGCTGCATCAGTCGATGCTGTGTTTACTTCTCTTATGCTTGGACACGCCTTTTTATGACGTAATATTGGTTACGCCTCTTCTTCAAAACAAGTTATAAGTATGCTATAGCATCGTATTTAAAGAAAACTTATATTATATTTTAACTGAGTTGAAATAGTAGGTTTATAATGTTCTGTGCGAGATTTTTTAAATTGTAAATCTACTTTTGTGTGTTGTGTGGTATTGTTAGCATTTAGCGCAACGAATTATCTCTCACAAATGTATTATTAAGATACCAAACGATTGAAAACGATCATTAGCAAACGATTGAAAATATTGAATGCATGAATTAAAAATTATAACCGTAACTTCTGAAAATACAGAAAAGAATTCTTTTGCTTAAAGAATGTTTTGATTATTCATGAGTGTGTTTAATCCGGTGCTTACTGCAGAATGGATGAGTATTTGAATCTGGATTTCTTTTATCAGTTGGAGCGAAAGAGATAAAAAATGTGTTATTGAGTGGTGTATGGAGAAAGGTTTGATTGCAATATCGTATAAGTGCCCGATTTGTGGAACAAATATGAAACTAGTAGAGCGAAAAAAACCGTATAGACGGTTTTGAGTGGATGTGCAGAGTTACTGGAGGCGAATGTAGGCATCGAATTTCAAGATCAATTCGAAAGAACTCCTGGTTTGCGAAGAGTAAATTGAGCATGTGTGATGTTTTGCGAGTTACCTATATGTGGTTGGGTAAGTGCGGGAATGATTTTATACGAACGGAATTACGTATTGCTAAAAATACGGTGACAGATTGGAAAAGTTTTTGTAGAGAAGTATGCATGGAGTTATGTTTGAAGGAGAATGTTAAGTTGGGTGGGGAAGGTGTCATTGTCGAAATCGACGAAAGCAAGTTTGGCAAGCAAAAGTATCATAGAGGGAAAAGAGTCGAAGGAAAATGGGTTTTTGTTTGGTTGAGAGAGGAACAGATAAATGCATCTTTAGAGTTGTTGAAAACAGAGGTGCCGAAACATTGCTGGGAATCATTAAAGAGAATGTTCTCCCAGGGATCGATTATATATCCGATTGTTGGAAAGCGTACGACTGTCTCGAGTTCGAAGGGTATGCGCACCTGAAAGTCAATCATAGCTTGAGTTTTAAGATCCAGAAGTTGGTGCGCAATGCCGAGTTTGTGCAATTCTGGGATGTTTTTTTAAGTGAAAATAGGTTGTGGCACATGGGCAAAGCCAATGTGTGCGCTATGCCGAGTTTGTTGCAACTTGGGATGTTTTTTTAAGTGAAAATAAATCGATGTGCACATGGGCAAGCCATGTGGTGCTCAATGCAGAGTTTGTGCAACTCTGGGGGTTTTTTTAAGTGAAAATAGATCGATGTGCACATGGGCAAAGCCAATGTGGTGCGCAATGCGAGTTTTTGCAATTCTGTTTTTTAAGTGAAAATAGGTCGATGTGCACATGGGCAACCCATGTGGTGCGCAATGCCGAGTTGTGCACTCTGGGATGTTTTTTTTAAGTGAAAATAGATCGATGTGCACATTAAAAGGCAATGCCGAGTTTGTGCAATTCTGGGATGTTTTTTTAATGAAAATAGATTCGATGTGCACATGGGCAAAGCCAATGTGGTGCGCGATGCCGAGTTTGTGCAATTCTGGGATATTTTTAAAGTGAAAATAGGTCGATGTGCACATGGGCAAATCCAATGTGGTGCGCAATGTCGAGTTTGTGCAACTCTGGGATGTTTTTTAAGTGAAAATAGATCGATGTGCACATGGGAAAAGCCAATGTGGTGCGCAATGCCGAGTTTGTGCAATTTTGGGATGTTTTTTTAAGTGAAAATAGATGGATGTGCACACGGGCAAAACAAATGTGATGCGCAATGCCGAGTTTGTGCAATTCTGGGATGTTTTTTTAAGTGAAAATAGGTCGATGTGCACATGGGCAAATCCAATGTGGTGCGCAATGCCGAGTTTGTGCAACTCTGGGATGTTTTTTTAAGTGAAAATAGATCGATGTGCACATGGGCAAAGCCAATGTGGTGCGCAATGCCGAGTTTGTGCGCGATGCCGAATTTGTGCAATTCTGGGATGTTTTTTAAGTGAAAATAGGTCGATGTGCACATGGGGCAAAGCCAATGCAGTGCGCAATGCCGAGGGTGTGCGCGATGCCGAGTTTGTGCAATTCTCTGGGATGTTCTTTTAAGTGAAAATAGATCGATGTGTACGTAGCCAAATGGGCCAATGCAATGCGCAATGCCGAGGTTGTGCGCGATGACGAGTTTGTTCAATTCTCTGATTTTTTTTTTCAAGTAAAAATAGATCGATGTGCACATGGGCGAAGCCAATGTGTGTGCGCGATGCCGAGTTTGTGCTTCTGGGATTTTTTTAAAGTGAAAATAGGTCGATGTGCACATGGCAAATCCAATGTGGTGCGCGATGCCGAGTTTGTGCAACTCTGGGATTTTTTTAAGTGAAAATAGATCGATGTGCACATGGGAAAAGCCAATGTGGTGCGCGAAATTTGTGCCGAGTTTGTGCAATTCTGGGATGTTTTTTTAAGTGAAAAAGATGGATGTGCACATGGGTAAAGCCAATGTGGTGCGCAATGCCGAGTTTGTGCAATTCTGGGATGTTTTTTTAAGTGAAAATAGGTCGATGTGCACATGGGCAAATCCAATGTGGTGCGCAATGCCGAGTTTGTGCAACTCTGGGATGTTTTTTTAAGTGAAATAGATCGATGTGCACATGGGAAAAAGCCAATGTGGTGCGCAAATGCCGAGTTTGTGCAACTCTGGGATGTTTTTTTAAGTGAAAATAGATCGATGTGCACATGGGAAAAGCCAATGTGGTGCGCAATGCCGAGTTTGTGCAATTCTGGGATGTTTTTTTAAGTGAAAATAGGTCGATGTGCACATGGGCAAATCCAATGTGGTGCGCGATGCCGAGTTTGTGCAAACTCTGGATGTTTATTTAAGTGAAAATAGATCGATGTGCACATGGGAAAAGCCCAATGGGTGCGCAATGACGAGTTTGTGCGCGATGCCGAGTTTGTGGCAATTCTGGGATGTTTTTTTAAGTGAAAATGGATGGATGTGCACATGGGTTAAAGCCAATGTGGTGCGCGATGCCGAGTTTGTGCAATTCTGGGAGTTTTTTTAAGTGAAAATAGGTCGATGTGCACATGGGCAAATCCAATGTGGTGCGCAATGCCGAGTTGTGCAACTCTGGGATGTTTTTTTAAGTGGAAAATAGATCGATGTGCACATGGAAAAAAAGCCAATGGTGGGTGCGCAATGCCGAGTTTGTGCAACTCTGGGATGTTTTTTAAGTGAAAAATAGATCGATGTGCACATGGGAAAAGCCAATGTGGTGCGCAATGCCGAGTTTGTGCAATTCTGGATGTTTTTTAAGTGAAATAGGTCGATGTGAAATGGGCAAAACAAATGTGATGCGCAATGCCGAGTTTGTGCAACTCTGGGATGTTTTTGTAAGTGAAAAAAGATCGATGTGCACATGGGAAAAGCCAATGTGGTGCGCAATGCCGAGTTTGTGCGCGATGCCGAGTTTGTGCAATTCTGGGATTTTTTTAAGTGAAAATAGATCGATGTGCACATGGGCAAAGCCGATGTGGTGCGCGATGCGGAGTTTGTGCAATTCTGGGATGTTTTTTAAGTGAAAATAGGTCGATGTGCACATGGGCAAATGCAATGTGGTGCGCAATGCCGAGTTTGTGCAACTCTGGGATGTTTTTTTAAGTGAAAATAGATCGATGTGCAATTGGGAAAAAGCCAATGTGGTGCGCGATTCCGAGTTGTGCAATTCTGGGATGTTTTTTTAAGTGAAAATAGGTCGATGTGCACATGGGCAAATCCAATGTGGTGCGCAATGCCGAGTGTGCAAACTCTTGAATGTTTTTTTAAGTGAAAATAGATCGATGTGCACATGGGCAAAGCCATGTGGTGCGCAATGCCGAGTTGAGCAATTGTCTGATTTTCTTTAGTGAAAATATAAATGAGCACAAGGACACCGAGTTTGTG